TGATTTCTGTATCTAGTGCCAGGTATCCACCACCTGGGGTGGGGTGTTATTTTGGTAAAATAGATCTCATTACTTATTCTCAAAAGAATGCTCTATTTCAGAGCAATGCTATTGTTAATGGAACTTTGATTTTAGTGTCCAAATGTCAGGAATGTTCTTAAACACTCTCTTATCCTTCCCATCAACTTAGATCAGACAGACATAACATATGTGAGAAGTTATCTAAATTTTTCAGCAATAAAACTGAGATGATGAAAGCTTTGCTTCCCCTTAGGTATCATCCAGTATTGGTAACCAAGTTGTTTTCATTCTTTCTTTTTTATTGTTTAAGGCTGGAGCACATTACTTGTGATACTTGCCAGAGTTTCCTAGCATCACTGTTTGAGACTCACCATATGTGTCTGTGATCTTTGCCCAGTAGGTACCTTGGCTTCATGCCAGTTTGGCACTTAGTACTATTATAATTTTGATTGTTTCCCTTGCTTCTGATTTTATCCATGCTGTCACCATGAAGCCCCTTAAACAGTCATTTTTAGGACTAAAGGGACTCATGAGAAAACCTGTTGTAACTGAACCCTTCTCCCCCAATGACTTCCCACTTGAGAGTATTGACGCGGTTAGTCTACCTAGTTTTGAGTTGACTGGTCTCTGGAATACAAACCCCTCCCCATTCTGTTTTTGAGAGTCCTTTGTTTAGGATTAGGCAGTGCACACCTCTGTAATTTACTGTTGCCATTTTATAGAGAGGCGATAGGAGTGGGGATAGAGAGTATGTGACTTCAGTCTACTGTTTTTCATGTGGACTAGTCAAGATATCAGAACTGTATTGTAAGATCCTCCTGTTCTCTGAGTTAAATTTAATGTTCTTGGTTCAGTTCAGCATCTCCTCGATCATACCTTCACTCCAGAAGGTTTGAAAAATATGCATAAACACAATAACCAATAGAAAAAATTTCAATTTAGAATTCTGGTAAACATGGAGGACTAAGCTCATATGAGAAATGCCTTTCCCTCCCCTCGAACGCTGATATCAAGGACTAAATACTACCAAGAGCTCCCAAGAGGGTACCGATCTTGATAGCCAGAGGCTGGGCTTTAATCATGGGTAGGTATATCTAAACTGGTAGCCATCTGAGGACAGGGAGCTAATTTAGCTAAGGTATGAACCTCTGGGTCTGCAAAGGTGGTTGCATGTATGGAAGATGGAAAAGGTTCACCTGAGTCAGCAAGAAATTAAATCCCTGGAAGAAAACTGAAGCCAAGTTCCATTGTGCATAGTTTGAATTCCAGATTCGTAGTATACTCATTGTGTCCCAAGCTAAGATCTTAACAAAAAGATAAATCCAAAGCTATCAAACCAAACTGATTGGAAATCCTGGCAGAGGAGCAAAAAATGAAACAATTCTTTGGGGGTGATCCAATAACCAGAAAAATATTCCCATGGGAAAGACCAAACCAGATAAAAACACAAACAAAAACACAACCCTTCACCAAAGATAAGCTTAAAGAAGCAAATTATGAACCACACAAGGAAGTACTGTATATATGAAACAGAGCTTTGTTAAAAATACAAATAGAAATTGAAAGAGACATAACTATAGCAGAGGGTTTCTGCTGTCATGCTGCTTTTGGAAGATTACATAGATAAATATTTATACAAACATTCACATTATCATATTCTAGTTGTCCATTTCCCTTTCACAAATAATTAAAAGGCTGTACTTTAGAATATTAATGAAAATATGATTTTGATTGTATATGTGTATATATGAAGATTACATAGCCATTAACATCATAGTTTCAAAGACTTGCAATCAATATTAAATGAAGAGGGCAGAATAAAAAGTACAGACAGGAAGATAATTTATTTTCTCCCTGAAAGAAAATGTATTAAAATATTTATAGCATTAGAATAATGTGTGCATCTTCTGTATTTCCCAAGACATCTATAATAAGGGACAAGATTAGAATGATAGGACAGTATGAGAGAACCTTAAAACTTTGGAAATTACACATAATTTGATATTTCTGGAGTGAAAGATGAGTGTAGAAAGTGGGCTGGCTATATTTGAGACTGGAAGGGTAACAAGAAGGGAGTCTCATCAAGAGAAATTGAATGTGTCATTTTAAGAAACAACTTCTCTGCTAGGGCTATGGGGAATCTCTAAGAATTTTAAGCTTAGAAGTATTGATCAGATATGTATTTTCAAAAATTCCTCAGGCTACACAGTGTAGATTTGTGCATGCATAATTAAACAGGAAACCAGACTACTGTAGTAATAATAGCTAACATTTACTGGGTGCCTACTATGTGCCAGAGACCATGTGTTGAGCACTTTATATATTCTAGTTCATTTAATATTTGTAACAGCTTTGTCAAGTAGGAACTTTGATCATCACACTCTTACAAGGAAACAGAGGTTACAGAACTTGCCAAGGTTAGTAATTGGTGGAGCCAGGCTCCCATCCCAGGTAATCCAAAATCACACTGCACCACAGTGGTGCCTTCTCAAGACAAACAAGCAGAGAAAAGTCAATAGAACAAAGAGAGACAACGAATGGGTCCAAGATGTTAATTAACATCTGTGGTTGACACACTGGCTTTGAGGTAGGTGGTTAAGGAGATAAGAGGGTCAGGAACAATTCAGGAAATATAGGTAAATGCAAATGTTTTTGAATAAAACTTAGAAGTTGCTTAAATTCACTGGAGAAAATAGGAAATATAATTCCTTTTAATTGCAGTGAATTTTTGTATCTTCTTATGTTTGAATGATTAAATGCAGTGAAAAAGAAATAGCTTAGTTCTATGATGCAATGCTGCAATGATAGTAAGATAGAGTACAGAGCCTATATTGAGCTTTGTGATTTTTAACAAGTGATTCCTTTACTGTCGATGAAGCCCATGTTTGCTAACCTGGTTTGGGGAGAGCTACATTACCTACCACAGGGGTTTGCTCTATCTATTCTCATTTCACCTAGAGCTTTTTTGATTTGCAATAACAGGGGTACATATTGAGAATTTTCATAACACATATTGAGAATTTAATCACAGGAAAGATGTATACTAATACTAACTGTTCAAATTTAGAATTTGAAGCTGTCCAAATTTATAAATTTTAAAGCTTCATGATTAAATATCACACTATACTTTCCAGCAAACACACATCTATTTCACTCTCTTTAATTCAGGAGATGAAACATTAGGTATTTGTTCCTTACTGTTGCTGATGGTTTTGTTATTTATAGGAATTGTAGTTTAGGTTTTTGAGATTATGGTATTTTTCCATATGGAATGCATTAAAATAAAATTGTCAAGTATTTTCATATTTGTAAGTTTTTTTCTGTAAAAGACAAAAAGTATATTACTATGGTGAATTGATTGGGATCTGAAATTTTTTGAAGACCTTTCCCATTAAGCAGTAAAGTTTATTTCTAAGTGTTGATTTTCTTAGTACTGCAGGATTATACAATATTTGACTTATTTTAGAGGTCATAGGCTCCAAAAAGACTTCAAGTTACTTGTTAAAACATTTTCAAGTTTGGAACAACTGACTCTGTTTTAAAGGTTACCATGCTGAATTAGTGTTGTTCAAATTGAGTCCTTTTAAATTCTTTCAAATGCTATCTTCCCTGTTACAGAATTAAAATAGGAGAGAGAAAAAAAGGTATAGAGACTGCTGCATCCTATATGCTGCATCCTATATGCTGCATTACAACTGTGGTGGAAAAAGTAACAGTAGAGCTCTGCTGAAAACAACATAGCCAGGAGATGTAGCTCTACGAATATATACCTATACAATAGTCCCATCCAGAAAATAATAATTTGATTTTTTTTTTTTGTGTGTGTGTGTGTGTGTGTGTGTGTGTGTGTGCGTGCACGCTTTAGAGAGTTTTAAAGGTGACCAGTAATTGCATGACTTGACTTCAGCAGTTGAGAGCATGTTCTCCAAGTTGACCATCCTTGGTGAAAGCTGTGAAAGGTGAAAGATCCCCTCATCCTCTTTGTCCTTTCTAGAACTGTTTCCCTAAGGAGACATGTGCTCTTTCCCCTATTCTTTGCCTTTTTCGGTCCTTAACTGCTCTATTTCTTTTACTAGCGTAAGTCTCACCACTCTCACAAGTAAGGATGGTGTGTTTATTCTGAGTGTTAAATTCTAAGTGTATTTATACCATGTTTTACAATTTTTGTATCCTTTCCTCTGGTTGTGCAACCGTGTGTGCACATCAGCCTCTGCTGACTTCTGTTCGCTGCGGCAGGCAGTAGGCTGACAGGCTTCCCTGGCCATGAACACGCAGCTGCACAAGGTGATTCTTGATGAGTACGTCTATTCAGCTGCTGGCTGCTGAACCACCTCTTTAAAGTTTTAGAATGAGTGGATGGAGGTAACTGTGCTTGTGAAATGAGGGGAGGCAGGGAGGTGCTCGGTTCCCGCACCATCTTCTGAACCACCTTCTCACCCAGGATAACTCCTCAGGGTTTAAGGATTTGTGTAGAGGGTTCAGTTTGAATGAAGTTAGCCTTTGAGATTCATTTTGTAAGTCATGTGTCTCTTAAGCAACTCAATCCCATTTCCGTGCTTATCTTGTAAGTACCACCTTACTGACAGCGTACTGCCTTACCAAGTGATCTGTGACAACTCTAATATAGACCCTTCTATATTTTCTTCTTTATTCCACCTTGCAGACTGCCCCAAAATATTTTTAAGTGGAGCTTACCGTCCGCAGGTATAAAGTCAAGTGAGTTCAGCGCTGGACAAACCTATTGAAAGGCAAGGCTGTGGCTGGGCACAGAGCCCCCCACCCCGGACCGCGCGCCCGCCTCCTCCCGTTCGGACCCGTCCCTTGCCCGGGCGCCCCTGCCCGGGTGGGAAGCCGGGACCGGGCGCGCGCAGAGGGAGGCGTCCGGAGCGCAGCAGGCGCCCACCTGGACGGCTCCCGCCCCCGCCCCCTGCCCCCGCCCGGGCCGCGGGGCGTCCGCCGCAGGTGCCCGCGCCGCCGCAGTGCGCAGAGCCCGCGCCTCCCGTCGCCGCGCAGCCCCGGGCCCGCCATGGGGAGCGTGCCGTCCGCCGTGAAGCACTGCCTCAGCCCCCAGCAGCTGCTCCGGGAGCACCTCTGGATCGGGGACGCGGCGGCAGGGGCGGCCGACCCCGCGCAGGTACTGCCTCGCGGCCCCGGGCGGCCCCCCTGCGCGCACTGCCCGCCGGCCTCTGCCCGGTTCCGCAAGCCCCGCACCCCAGGGCCCGTGCTGCGGCAGCCCCGGCGGGGTAGGCCTCGCCCCTTGAAAGCTTTCCCATCGCCTCTGCCGGGAACGTGTAGACCCGCCCCTACAGGTCAGACCCAGCACAGTCCCCACCGGGGCTGTTTGCAGGTCGCCGGCAGGAAACTGTCCCCTCTCTGTTTTCCCTTCGGAAGGGATGCATTATGTAATGTAATTTGTGTCGGTGGGCGCGCCTCCAAGATAGTGCCCTTCTTTTCAGTGCCCTCCCTGTACCGTGTAACAAAGACCACAGATCTGTCAGAATGGGAGACAGGAAAAGCACCGAAGCCGACAGGGAAGGCTAAGAAACCAGGGGAGATGAAATTATCTGTCCTATCATTAATTATCCCTAATGTGTTTATGCTCCAGCGCACTTGAGCACGCTTGAAAAATGTCTAAATAACACGATTTCAGACCAAAATGTATTCCCATGTGATTTCTGACCGCCCATTTTAATAGGCAACTTAATAGTATCCACATACTTGTGATTTTAATGCACTCTCAACCAGAAATGGCAAGTAAACTAGGAAAAACCCTAATATAAAGAAAGGTACTTTTCCCTTAAGAGCTTAAAATTTACAATTTTACAGATATAGTAACAGTGATAATTGCTACGTGAATGTTAAAAGATTGAAAAAGGAAGGGACACTATGAGGATTTAGCCATTTTTTCTTTTATTTTGATGGATGCAGAAATGTTTATTCCTGACTCATCCTGTGAATAAAATATGTTAATTATAATATTTTAGTCGATAATTTTACTATGTGGCTTGAAATCAGCTATTCCAATGTTAGTTATCTATTTTCCTATACATTTAGCTTAATCTCAGTTCAGTTTATCAGTATGTGAAATTGTAGCATTCGTTCTGGTTTACTTAAGTCGACAAACACCTAAGAAAGTTTCTTTGTAAAAAGGACATTACTTAAAAGGTGGCATGGTCATCTGACTCAAAGCCTGCTGCTGACAGGGCGAGAGAGGAAGTTAATTCTTTGCCTTCACATATCTATTTAATTTTACTACATTCTAATTTGATCTATTATAACTTTTCTCCCAACTTTTATATTCAGTCTATTATGTAGTCAAAGATCCTTACTTTTACTCCCTAAATTTAATACTTTTTTCTGATATTTTCACTGCATTAAAATTGTATTTCTCATGCCAGCCCCTTGTCCAGATTTTGTGGGGTTGGAGGACGGCGGTACAGGCAAGGCTGCTATGTGAGGATGTCTATTTTTCCCATTGAAAAGGTAGAAACAGGGTAATTGAAAACGACTAGGATGACTGATGAAGCAATGTGGGGAATAGGATTTTGGACATCAGCCTCATAAGACTTTTTGCTCCTTTTTGAGAAGAAACTTCTCTATTGTTTTATCCCCCAACTGCCTGGCCTGGGAAACTTCTGTTCCTTCCTCAAACACAGCTTAAATTTCACTCTTTCTATCAATTCTGTTCTCCCTGCAGCATTAATACCCCATTTCTTGGCTTATGGCATTTTATGCATAATTCTCTTTTAGTCCCAATCTTGTTCAATTGTAATTTTTATGTCTGTCCTATTTGAACTCACAGCAGCATTGACACCTGGCACTTGACTCTTTTAAATTGATCTCCTTTCTTTGCTTCTATTTAACAGTATCCTTATTGCTCAAAGCGCTGCCTCTCTGGTTCCTTAGTGTGGAACCAGACTGGCGTAGTGGCCAATGTCTGTCTGGTCAATGTTTAGGTTCCTAGTGACTTCTTACGCACACTCACAGCTTCAGCGAGTTCCAGATTTATACTCCCATCCTGCTCTTAAACTCTAGTCCTCACATTCAGGTGCTTACTTGACATCATCACTTGGATATCTCAAAAGTAATTCAAACTCCACATTTCCAAAATTGGATTCATGTTCTCTGCTTACAACCCCAGACCTTCTTCAATATTTCCTACTGCGGGGAATATCATCAAAATTAATTCAGTTCTACAAGTCACAGACCAAGAGCTCCTTGTTTCCATTTCCCCACATCCAATATTTTACTGCATCCTACAGTTTTTCTTGAACTTCTCTCAAACCCATCTATTTTTCCAACTATACTGCTACTATCAGTTTTTAAATGATAGAGATACTATCATTATCTCTCAAGTGGACCACTGGACGATTGCATTCCTTTCTCAACCCACTGTCTATAGCTAGTTCTGTTTCAAATAAGATCATGCTCTTCTCCTATTTCACAGCCTTCTATGAATTCCCACTGCTTGTAGGAATGAATACCAAAACTTTTAATGTGTTCTCTGAAGCATCAAATGGTTCTTCCATTGCATCTCTCTGCAATATCAACCTAAGTGGTTCTTTTTCTTGCCACAGTGGCCGCCTTCGATTTCTCTCTGTTTCCTCTGGAAACGCGGTCTTTGTTTTCTTCTCTGCTAGGAAGGTTCTTTTCAGCTAATTAACTTCTATTCCAACCTTCAGATCTCAACTCAGATGTTGCTTTTTCATAAAATCTTTCCCAGACTCTCAAGGCAAGGGGCAATTGTTATATATTGCACAATGCACAATTTATTATATAAAATATTAATTACATATTTATTTTTGTGATTATTCAATGTTTAATTCTCTACCAGAGTCTAAGCATCATAAAAGTAAAGAAAAAAATCCGCCACAGGATTCTCGGCAGCTCTGTGAATGCCAGGTTAGTTTTTGATGGCCAGTAAATATTGTTGTATTGCTGTATGAATAAATGAATGGATGTTTACCCTTCTAAGCCATAAAAATCTCATGCTTATGGGCACTGTGAAATTGTTCTCAGCACTTTTCAAGGTTCAAAACAGCGATTGGTGCACTGTTGTACAATGAAAATATTTGTTAAATGAAGGCTAATGTGAGAAGAATAATACATGGTGTCAATAGAGTTTGGTGTTAGTGTTCGAAAATGGATTTTATTACTTTTTGTGTTTTACCTTTTCATAGAATCTAGTCAAGCTTTGATGGGGAGAAAAGTTGAACATGGATTCTGAAGGGACAGCACAGTGCTTAAACAATTGTTTATTGTTAAATCTGGCATAAAGAAGCATGGGCAGGAACCCTGTGATTTGAAATAATTTGGTTGCTGTCAGGACAGACAGAATGCTGTATTTTGAAAGACCCCTGTGCTAGACAATAGAAGATTGGAAATCAAGACCTTTTTCTGCTACCAGTGGATTCTGTGATTCTGTGCAGGCAATATCCTGGCTAGATATTAAATTTTCAGTTTACACATTACAGATACTGTATCCTGATAAATTATTAGGATAAAATAAATATTGGGTGTGTCTATGTGTATTTACACATTTGAAGTTTAATGATTTATTATCAAATGTTAAATGGGTGAATGTGACTGAAAGGCTTACTCTGCCAGAGCACCAGTGATTAAATTCTTTGAGTCTCTAATTTTTTGCTAACGACATTGGTTTTATAGAAGATTACCTTAATAGACCGAGAGGTTAAAATTGTTCATTGTATAGAGCAAGCTATCTGTCAGGGCCTGTTTTATTTTCTATATTTGTCTCTGTTAAAATGGATATAACAACACTGGCTTAAATCAGTAATGTTTTAAAGTTTTGATTAAATTAAAGATCTCTAGCAAAGCAATCCCATTTTGATTTGCAAAGCAGTAGCTAAATTTCTTTATATATGAATACCCTGTTGCAACGATAAAATTTCCTCAGACCTAAATTCTAACACAAGCGATGTTTTCAATGTATTAGATTTATAAAAGAAAAATTGTAGATTATGTGAGATTAAAATCATAGTTATTTCACATTATTCTTGATCCTCTAAGTTAAATTTGCTGTCAGGAAAAAAGTTATTATTCCAAGTGAAGTATTTGGTGTTAAAGGGTCTCTGGAATTTAACCCAAATGTATTATATTTCCACTTAAATTTAATCAAAGAATAATGTGACTATATACTTCTTAGTTTGCAAGTATGCAGCTGTTAGTACATCTACTAAATACCTTAGGATGACTTGGGGGAATTTTCAGGAAGGAATGAAAATACAATCCCACTGTTTGTTTTCTATATGCCTCAGGTGTTCTTTTTTTTTTCTCCCTTTTCCTCCTTTTAACACTTTTTTTCTCCTTCGATGGCTTTCTTTGAACTTACATATTTTTATTATTTGTTTTCCTCCTGCATTAGTGTGCTAGCTGTATATTATTTTTACCTTTAGTTTTGCTACCTATAAGATATCAACACAAACTTGACTTACTAAAATATTATACAAATTAGTAGTTCTGACTTATTAAAAATGCAAATATAATGCCTTAACCCTATTTACTGATTTCTGCCTTTAAATTGTTAAATACATTTATTATATATATGGCATATTTGTAATATATTTTTACAGTCAGAATACGTTCATATTTATGTATTTTTTCTTTTCTTTGCTCTTTATTTCTTCATTTCTATTCTTCCACCTGCAATTACTTTCCTTCAACTATAAGTATTTGCTTTACTATTTTCTTTAGTAAAAATCTGCTGATGATTTCATCCAGTGTTTTATTTGTTTAAAGTTACAATTATTTTAATTCACACACATCTACATATATGTAATGTGCATAAATATAAATTAATTTAATACTTAGTCCATAGGCACACACCTGATCATCTACATTTGCCCTCTTACAGCACTAAACTATGTTTTCTACCTTTATCTTGCATCTACCTACCACTTCAGCATTTTATTAAAAATAAAAATAATAATAATAATAAAGGGAGAAATGTGGGATCCACATATAAATCAAGTATAAAAATCAAACGAATATTCATATTTGACCTGATTGTTTATAGTTCATAATGCGTGATCAAAACCGAAAGTTTCTGTGATGAATGCCCTTGTACTGTTCACCATGTAAGAACTTATTCACTATGTAAGAATTTGTTCACCA